TGTGTCTCTAAGGACAAGAAAATGAGGGTCATCATATTGCCGCTCCCTGATGCGCTTAAATAAGGAAGAACGAGCGACTATTCAAGCTATAACATGACTGGGCTCTGAAACATCCAACCTCACGAACTGATTGGCCAAAGCTTGAAAATCTAATGCAAGCGATCTCTCACCAAATAGAATGTACGCAAGGCTGCCTATACTTACTGCCTTCCTACTCATGTCATCAACCACCACATTGTCCTTCCTGGGGTAATACAAAATGGTGATATCATAGTCTTTCAATAGCTCCAACCACCTCTTCTGCCTAAAATTGAGATTCTTTTGTTTGAACAAATATTGCAAGCTCCGATGATCCCTGAAAACCTCATATGACATGCCGTAAAGATAGTTCCTCCAAATCTTCAGTGCATGAACAATGGATACCAACTCTAAGTCATAAACAGGGTAATTCTTCTCATGAACCTTCAGCTGTCGCGACATATATGTAATCACCCTGCCTTCTTGCATCAATATCGCACCAAGTCCAATACGAGATACATCACAATATACCGTGTAGGATCCTGAAACTGTGGGCAACACCAACACTGGCGCCATAGTCAAAGTAGTCTTGAGCTTCTGAAAGCTCGCCTCACACTCGTCTGACCATCTGAACGGGGCACACTTCTGGGTCAACCTAGTCAATAGGGATGCTATAGATGAAAACCCCTCCACAAACTAACAGTAATATCCCGCCAAACCCAAGAAACTCGTGATCTCCGTGGCTGAAGTGGGTCTAGGCTAGTTCTGAACTGCCTCAATTTTCTTAGGATCCACCTAAATGCCCTATGTCGATACTACATGCCCCAAGAAAGTGACCGAGTCCACCCAAAACTCACATTTTGAAAACTTAGCATATAATTAGTTGTCTCTTAGAGTCTGAAGTACGATCCAAAGATGTTGCTCAAGCTCCTCTACTCTACGAAAGTAAATCAAGATATAATCAATAAACACAATTACAAAGGAATCCAAATAGGGCTTGAATACTCGGTTCATCAAATCGATAAATGTTTCTGGGGCATTTGTTGGCCCAAATGACATCACTAGAAACTCATAATGCCCATACCAAGTCCAAAAAGTTGTTTTAGGGACATCAAATGCCCTAATCCTCAATTGATGGTAGCCAGACCTCAAATCAATCTTTGAAAACACCTTGGCACCCTGAAGCTGATCAAATAAGTCATCAGCGCTAGGCAGTAGATACTTGTTCTTGGTGGTGACTTTGTTCAACTGTCGATAATCTATGCACATCCTCATCGATCCATCCTTCTTCTTCACGAATAACACAGGCACACCACAGGGCGAGACACTAGGTCTAATAAAGCCCTTATCAAGCAAATCTTGCAGCTACTTCTTCAATTCTTTTAACTCTGGCGGGGCCATACGGTATAGCAGAATAGAAATGGGGTGAGTTCCCAGAGCCAAATCAATAAAGAAGTCAATATCTCTTTCGGGTGGCATCTCCGGCAGATCTACAGGAAATACCTCTGAAAACTCACGAACAACTAGTACTGAATCCATGGAAGGAACCTCCACACTAGAATCACAGACATAAGCCAAATAAGCTAGACACCCCTTCTCGACCATATACTGAGCCTTCATATAAGAGATAACCCCACTGGTAGAATGGCCAGGAGTCTCTCCCCACTTTAATCGAGGCAACCCCGGCAAGGCTAAGGTCACCGTCTTGGCATGACAATCCAATATAACATGATAAGGTAGCCGCCAATCCATACCCAAAATGACATAAAAATCAACCATATCGAGAAGTAGGAGATCTACGTTAGTCTCAAGACTCCCAATAGTAACCACACACGAATGATAGACACGATCTACAATAATAAAATCTCTTAAAGGTGCGGACACATACACATAAGCACTCAAAGAATCACAGGGAACAACTAGATATGAAGCAAAATAGGATGACACATAGAAATAAGTAGAGCCCAGATCAAATAGAATTGAAGCACCTCTATGGCAAACTGGAACAATACATGTGATAACAAAGTCAGATGACTCAGCCTCAGGCCTGGTTGGGAAAGCATAACATCTGGGTTGGGCCCCATCACTCTAAACTATATCCCTAGGATGGCCTCTGGCTGGCTGGCCTCCACCTCTAGCAGCCTGACCTCCACCTCTAGTGTCCTGACCTCTACCTCTAATGGCCTGACCTCCACCTCTGGCTGCCTGACCCCTGCCTCTAGCTGGCTAAACGGGCGGTGGTGCAACCGGTGCCGAAATCATGGCACGAGAACTCTGTTGTGGCGTGCCGCCCGATAATCCCGGACAGGTCCTCCTGATATGCCCAAAACCACCATACTCAAAATATCCATCTTGGTGTTATGGCTATTAAAATTGAGACTGACCCCAACGGGCCGAATAACCACGGTGATAACTCTTAATAGGAGGTGCACTAATAGGAGTTGGCGGTGCACTGTAGGCTGGCTGCCCAGAATGAGGCACAAAAGGACCACGACTCCCTGAAGCACTATGGGATGCTTGAAGCACTGACTAAAATGGCATGGGAGGATGGCCCGTACCAAAAGTACCCCTGCCTCCAGATAAGGCACCACTAAAACCACCAGAATGATGCGACCTCTTATTAGACCCCTGCCCTCTCTCCTGTAAAAGAGCATTCTCGATCCGCCTGGCGACATTAGCAGTGGTCTGAAAAGAAATCTCACCCTCAGTCTCCTTGGCCACCTGAAGCTTGATAGGGTGAGCGAGTCCCTACATAAACCTCCTTACCCTCTCTCTCTCTCTCAGTAGGAAGCAGAAGAATAACATGACAGGCTAGGTCCACAAAAGTGGTGTCATACTGAGTGACTAACATACTACCATGCTGGAGACGCTCAAACTGCGTGCAGTAACTCTCTCTCAGCATGATAGGAAGGAACTTCTCAAGAAATGGCTGAGAAAACTTGTCCCAAGTAAGAGCAGGCGACCTAGCTAGTCTGGTAGATACATAATCTTTCCACCATCTCTTGGAGGAAATCGTCATTTGAAACACAGCAAAATCGACCCCATTGGTCTCAACTATACCCATGTTCCACAGCACCTCATGGCAGCGGTCAAGATAATCATGTGGGTCCTCAGAAGGTGCTCAACTAAAGTGATCTGGGAAGATCTTTGTAAACTTGTCCAATCTCAATAAGCCATCAAAAGACATGGCATGTCCATTACCGGCCTGTGCCGCGACAACTGGCTGAACTATCCCAACTGGCGGGGCTGTCGGAGTCTGATACTGGGGAGCCATCTACTCCAGAGTGTGAGCAGCGGGAGTCTGTGCTCCTCCCCTAGCCCGAGAGACGGTTGGTGTCATAGTAAATGTACCGGCCTGGGGGCCACACTCTCCATAAGGCCCACCAAACGGACCAGAGGGTCTTGAAGCATTGGGGTGGCGATGAACCCCTCCAGGACCTGAGTTGGTCTAACAAGTGCAGTCTGAGCTGGAACCTTCTCATCAAAATCTACTTGAGGCTCCACTGCTGGTGCTACTGCTCGAGCTCTAGGCTGAGCTCTGCCCCTGCCTCGACCTCTGCCCCTCGTAGGAGCTACTGCTGGGGGCTTCGGCTACTGTCTAGCTAAAGATGCGATGCATGTTCTCTTCATCTGCGAGAGATCAAGAATAGAAGAGTCCAATCATTAATGGTAGAATAAACTCGCACGATAGAGAAGAATAGAAGTAAAATTGTTCCGAACTCCATAGCCTCTGGAAGATAAGTACAGACATCTCCGTAACAATCCTCTAGACAATTCTAAGTTTGCTCGTGACTTGTGAGACCTATGCAACCTAGTGCTCTGATACCAATTTGTCACGATCCAAAATTCTCACCGCCGGGACCGTGATGGCGCCTAACATTTCACTTACTAAGCAAGCCAATGTTAGAACATTTTATCCATTTTTAACATTTTAAAATTACTTAATGAGAAAGAACTAAAACTACTGCAATAATCCAAAGTAATAATGCGGAAGCTAAAACAGCCAAACGTCTAATACATCCATGGACCCAGTGTCACAAGTGCACGAGCTACTTGAATAGTACAAACAAGGGGCTGAAATAACATAAAACTGTCTGAAAAGAAAGTACACAGCCAAATAAAAAGGGAAGGGGACTCCATGAGCTGCGGGCGCTGAGCAGCTGTACCTCAAGTATCCACGAGCAGTCGAATCCGAGCATGCCAATAATCGTCGCTGGGACCAACTCCAAAATCTGCACAAGAAGTGTAGAGTGTAGTATGAGCACAACCTACCCCATGTACTCTGTAAGTGTCGAGCCTAACCTCGACGAAGTAGTGACGAGGCTAAGGCAAGTCACTTACACTACAACTTGTACGCAATATATAATAAAGACAAAAAAGAAAATACAGAACAAAATAGGGCAGTCAACTGAAGATAATAGCTACAGCCTCAAGAAATAAGCCAGTGACGATCGGAATTACCAATCCTTAGAGTTTCAAGTGAAATTACCGAAAACCAACACAACTCAAGAAATAGAAACACATAGGTTGTTGCGGCGTGCAGCCCGATCCCACCGTACAACACAATCCTCCCTTATTCATCGTAACAATATCAACAATCAAAACCAATAAATAATTATTGCGGCGTGCAACCCGATCCCATCATATGACAATATCAGTATCACATTTCACCATTATTTTACCGTATCACTCCACCCTTATTTCACCTTTTGCGGAGTACAACCCGATCCTACTATATCAGTACAAATTCACCCTTATTCTACCATATCAATCCATCATTATTTCACCTGTTGCAGCGGGCAACTCGATCCCAGTATATCAGTGCCAAATACACAACAAGCACAGTCACATCAATAATTCATATCACAAAATCCTCTATGATCAATGAATATAACACTAAACCAGTAAGGAAACCTTGTACAACATGAGAATTCACATAAGTAATACAATATAGCAATACAAGTCCACTAAATGACAATTAGATGGTGGAAGTAAGTCAATGAAAGCAAATAGTAGGGAATCATGAAAATATGGAAAAATCTAACGTTATTAACAGGAGGAAACACTGAATAACAGGTAGCAACTAAGCATGGAAGGCATTTAGAGCATATAACAGTTAAGATAAGGAAGGAGATAATTAAGAAAAAGCGGAAAATTAGGGAACACAAGTAATTTAGCAACGTATAAGCACTCGTCATCTCGCATATACGTTGCGACACATGAAATTCACATAGCACATAATCCGAGGGTCCCTAATTCCCTCAAGTCAAGGTTAAACTCAACACTTACCTCACTCCGCAGTCAATTCAGAGCTCTACCAGGGCCTTTCCCCTAGAATCTGCCTCCACACCACTCGTTCTAACCACAATTGACTCAATAATATCATATATTGCTAAAGGAATCAATTACAATGCATAAATTTAGAATTTCTAAACTTTTCCCAAAAAAGTCAAAAATTGACCTAGGACCGCTTGGTCAAAACCCGAAATTCGGACAAAAACCCGATTATCCATTCACCCCTGAGCCCGGTTATGTAATTTATTTCGAAAACGTCAATTTGAGGTCTAAATTTTAATTTTACAAAAATACCTAATTCTATCCAAACCCTCAATTTCTACCATGAAAAATCCAAGATTTTAGGTGAAAATCTTATGAAATGTAATAGGTAATTGAAAGGAAGTAGGTTAGAATCACTTAACAACAAATTGGGGAAGAAAACTCTTGGAAAAATCACTTCTAGGGTTTTCTAGTTTTGAAATTTTGAAAGAATGGGCAAATCCCATTTATGGTCTGTTTTAATCACTGGTTGTCCGGTATTCATCGCGTTCGCGAAGAGCAGAGCCTTAATGGCTTACATGATCACGAGAGGCTAGACGCGTTCGCGAAGGTTTAGCCCTCCTAACCTCGGCGTTCGCGAGACTGGACTCGCGTTCGCGTAGTGTAACCTCAAGTCCCCAGCCCACACCTCACTAAACTACGCGTTCGCGTGTGACTGGCCGCGTTCGTGTAGAACATCCCCCCAGTGCTCCGCATTCGTGGTTGTGGTCTCGCGTTTGTGTAGAAGAAAGTCCTCCTCCTGCCCAGTTCACTCTTCGCGATCGCGGGAGTATCTTCGCGATCGCGAAGAAGGAAACCAGATGATAGCTGAAGCTAAGAGAAAAATCAGATTTTCTAAGTTTAAACCATTCGTAACCTATCCAAAATTCACCGAGCCCTCGGGGATCCAAATCAATTATGCACACAAGTCCAAAACTCCATACGAACTCGCTTGCACAATCAAAACGCCAAAATAACGCCTAGAACTACGAATCGGACAGTAAATCAAATGAATCTTTTAAGAAAACTTTAAAACTTCTATTTTAACAACCAAATCTCTGAATCACGTCAAACCAACTCCGTATCTCACCAAATTTGACAAACAGGTCATAAATATAGTAATAGACCTATACCAGATTCAGAAACCGAAATACGGACCCGATATCAATAAAATCAAACATCGGTCAATTCTTAAAAACAATTAAACCTTTAAACTTTTAATTTTTGACAAAAATCAATAACTCAAGCTAGGGACCTCCGAATTCGATTTTGGGCATATGCCGAGGTCCCAAATCACGATACAGACCCTTCAGGACCATCAAAATACGGATCCGTGTCCGTTTGCTCAAAACGTTGACTGAAGTCCACTCAAATAAATTTTTGAAGCAAAATTACATATTTTACCAGTTTTTAACATAAAAGCCTTTCGGAAAAATACCCGGACTACACACGCAAATCGAAGAAGGCTTAAAAGAAGCTATTAGAGACTTCGAAATACAATATTATGTTCTAAAAATTTAGATGACCTATCGGGTCATCACATTTTACAAGCTGGATTGACTGCTGAAAACTTTGGTTCTACTGCTGATTTTGCTGCTGGGATTTTAGCTTAAACCAAACTCTTCTTTGGATTATCCTTTAGTGCTTTCCTTTTCAGTTAGGTCAGTACCAAGTTCCTTATGTTGTTATATTTTATTGAATGACCAAGCATTGTTGCTTTATTTGATTTATGAAGTATTGTTTCACTGTTTCTCTTAATGTGTTAGTTTAAATATGTTTTTCACTTTAATCTGGGTTAGATATCTATGGTCATTCAAGCATGTAAGCTCAGTTGTTAAACCTTTTCTTTAAATCTTGAATAAGGTTGGAGTCTTGTTTAAATCATACAGATTCAGCAATAGTTCAAACAGAAGCTTTACAATAGTGTTGTGTGTGTTGGAGTATGTGGATTTGTGTTAATATTGGAACGCAACAAGGTTGTTATTACTGACCATATGGTTGTGGTTTGCAGTGGTCAGATCGGTAAACTCTAAGGCTAAGAGGTGGGGTTTCAGGAGTATTCACAGGCCATTAAGCCATTACATATGGTCGTGAAGCTAAAAATTAAAAGTTAGAAGGTTATTTTCTCTATTAGTTCAGGTCGTGTATTTGTTCATCAACGTGTAATCAAGAATTTATTACTATCAAGTCTGAGTTTTATAATTTAATTATGTATGTAATTTTGGAATCGAACAAAATATTCATGCTCAAAATATGTTGTAGTTAATTCATGGGATTTTTTCATTCCTATACAATATTGGAAACTTTATTACCCTAAATATTCATGTTTAGTAAATTAACCTACCTACACAAGTTTTGTTTACAAAATATATACATTACACCAAAAAAGATTCCCAATCCATTATTAGTGTCTTCAATTAAGGGATTTAGTTATACCCCTTACCTTTTTTCTCCCCTCTTTCCCCTCTTCTCTCCAAACAGAGTTTAAGTGTGATAGAAATTGCCAGATGTGACACAAAATTATCATATGCAGCGCATTAGGCACACCTTCAGGAAAAGTAAAAGCTAGCCCATTACTAACAACTCTACAAATAAAAAGTGGCTCTTCCTCCCTAAATATTTTTCGATATTCTCTATGAGCAGATTAGCAAAATTGAACAATCACTGATCCTACGATACTTTTAGACTCTAGTTAACGTCTTCAACTATTAAACGATCTGCTCTTAAGCATTTTCTTTCTTCAGTTTATACCAGAACAATAAAACCAACTAAACGGCGTAATTTAGGTTTTCAATAGTGTAACTAAAGCTTAGATCTAGTCTAAAATCAAAAAGTTTACTAGAACTTACTGATCTGTACTTGTACTTTGTAGCCCAATACAGATAGTGTATGAAATTCAATGCACTGAGTATGCACATTAGCTAGTAAAAACTCTCCAAATGGAAGTGATTCAAATTGCTTCCAGAAAGCCATGAGTGGTGCTTTGAATTACCTATGACACTATAATTTATCTACAACTTTCATGTATTATTTTTTATCTAGTTAAAATAAAACTATAATATCATATAATTTAAATACAAATTTTATACAATATGTCTTTTGTATATTTTGTATCTGATTTATACATAGTAAAAATAAATTTCATACAACTAATTATATATTATACAACTTATCTACAACTTTCATACATTATTTCTACCCAGTTATATACAACTACAATATTATAACCCTTAACTACAATTTTTATACAAATTTTATACAATATGTCTTTTGTATATTTTGTATCTAATTTATACATAGTAAAAACAAATTTCGTACAACTAATTATATATTATACAATTTATCTACAACTTTCACACATTATTTCTACCTAGTTAAATACAACTACAATAATATACAATTAAAATACAAACTTTATACAATATGTCTTTTATATATTTTGTATCTGATTTATACATAGTAAAAATAAATTTCATACAACTAATTATATATTATACAATTTATCTACAACTTTCACACATTATTTCTACCTAGTTAAATACAACTACAATAATATACAATTAAAATACAAACTTTATACAATATGTCTTTTATATATTTTGTATCTGATTTATACATAGTAAAAATAAATTTCATACAACTAATTATATATTATACAACTTATCTACAACTTATATACAATTTTCATACATTATTTCTACTCAATTATATACAACTTAAATATAATTTTTATATAATGTTGTTCAATTTTTTTAAACTAAATCATCGATGGCTAACATGATTCTTGTTATAATTCACCATAATATACTCATTTTTTATTGGAAGAGGGGAATCCACTTGGAATGCTCCACTCCATGACCATCTAAATACATAAATTAGGCATCATGTCATCGGAGTTAGAACTTTCATACAAAAAAACATCTAACAAAGATTTTGGTTAGGGATAGGCAATTTAAGCCCAAATCCGTTTGACCCGTCAAGTTCGCACAAGGTTGGGCCAGTTATTGACCCGCCAATTTAAACTCAACCGATCTTGACCCAACTCTTCTCAACCCATTTAAAGTTGGGCTAATTTTTAGCCCATATTGATCGATGTGTAACTTTGCTAAAGTATCTTTAAAATATTTTTTTGTTTGATATGTTATATATTACTATAAAAAAGTTTTATTTGATAATTAAACAATTCGTAAGAAAATAATACACATTAATTAAAGTTTGGTAAGAGTTGGACGAGTTGGACTATGACCCAAATTTTAGTCTATCATGATCTAGCCCAAGTAACTAATGAACCGCTCAATTATTGACTCAATTCATTTTGACCCGCCCAAAATCAACTCAACCGCCCATTTGACATCCCTAATTTTGGACTTGTGACTTAAAGCAATTGAAATTGTAACTTTAAAACAATTTTCGAACCCCCTCTGCCACTTCACATGACTTTTTCCTTATGTAAGGGAGATTCAACCGCTACAGTTTTAATTTATAACCTAAATTATTTTTCTCTATTTACAGTATAATTTTTTTAACAACTTCCTCCACTTAGCTCCGCCACCACATGCCTAGAGCCATCCAGTGCTTCCGTAAGACATCCAAATGGGGGAAATTTCTTGTAGATAATGGAGGGAATTCTCTTATCTTCATAAACTAATTTCAGTTTGCTAATAGGTATTTTCACAAGAACGTAAAGTTACTATCATATACAGAAGAGCTATTAAAAAGCTATTCAGGCTCTTTTATTTGGATCAATATTTATTAGATTAAAAATAAAAAAATACGGAGCAAAAAAGTATTGCATCGAAAAGTTGTATTTTCCGGCAATTATGATTTTTGTATAAGAAAACATAGTTATAAGACTTTGATAAAAAAAGCCATAGTTGTATACAAAAAATAACTTAGTTGCTTTAGATCAAATAAAGTAAAATTTGAATGACTAAAATAATACATCAAATGCAAGTTGTCAAAATTAACTTTTTTTAACACAGAAACGTGATTAGTGCTTACGCGCCTCAAGCGAGACTAAGCGAGGAAGTCAAGAGGCGCTCTTGGGTTGATTTGGACGAGGTTGTGCGTGGTATCCCACAATCCGAGAAGATTTTCATAGAGGTTGACTTTAACGGTCATGTTGGGGAGATGGCTAGGGGTTATGACGAGGTGCATGGCTGGTTTGGTTTTGGGGTTAGGAACGAGGGCGGTACTTCGTTGTTGGAGTTTGCTAGAGCTTTTGACTTGGTGCTAGCTAACACGGGTTTTAAGAAGAGGGAGGAACACTTGGTCAATTTTCGGAGTAGTGTAGCCAAGACTCAGATTGATTTTCTTCTCATCCGGAGAGGTGATAAGAGCCTTTGTACGAATTGCAAGGTTATCCCGAGTGAGTGTTTGTTGACGCAGCATAGGCTCTTGGTGATGGACTTGGAGGTCAAGGTAGCTAGGAAGAAGAGAGCGGTGTTCGGCTAACCTAAGATCAAGTAAGTGGGGAGCCTTGACTAAGGGAAAGGCTCAGGAGTTGGGGGAGAAGCTGTTGGCGATGGGGGCCTGGAGGAGTAGTGGGGACGCAAGTAGTATGTGGACCACGACAGTGAATAGCATTAGGGAAGTAGCTATGGAGGTATTAGGGGTCTCGAAGGGTTACTCGGGTGGCCACAAGAGGGACTGGTGGTGGAATTGGGAGGTCTATGGTAAAGTGAAAGCTAAGAAAGCGGTGTATTTGAAGCTAATGGGGAGCAGGGACGAGGAAGAGCGGAGGTCATATAGGGAGTGTTATAAGAAGGCAAGGAGAGAGGCGAAGCTCGCGGTCACGGCGGCTAAGATTGTAGCTGTTGAAAAATTATATGAGGATTTGGGGGCAAAGAAGGGGATAGAAAGCTGTACAAGTTAGCCAAGATTAGGGAGAGGAAAGCTCGGGACCTGGATCGAGTGAGGTACATCAAAGACGAAGATGATAAGATATTGGTGGAAGTGGCGTGTATTAGGCGCAGATGGTAGGAGTACTTCCACAAACTCTTAAATGAGGAAGGGGATAAGAGCATCATGCTAGGTGAGTTGGAGAACTCAGAGTCGGAGAGATTTTGGATTTTGTAGGCATATTAAGTGTGGGGAGGTTGATGTGGCAGTACGGAAGATGATGAGGGGTAAGGCGACTGGGCTTGATGAGATTTCGGTAGAATTTTAGAAAGTAGCTGGTAGGGTAGGCCTGGAGTGGCCTACTAGACTATTTAATGTCATTTCCAAGAAAAAGAAGATGCTCGACGATTGGAGGGGGAGTTTGATGATTCCGTTGTACAAAAACAAAGGTAATATCCATAACTGCAACAACTATAGGGGTATCAAGCTGCTGAGTCACACTATGAAGGTGTGGGGAGGGTGGTGGAACAGAGAGTGATGACATGTGTATCTATCTCTGAGAATCAGTTCGGATTTATGCCGGGACGGTCAACCACAGAAGCCATTCACCTTGTGAGATGATTGGTGGAGCAATATAAGGAGAGGAAAAAGGACTTGCACATGGTGTTCATTGACCTAGAGAAGGCTTAAACAAAGTCTCGAGGGGGTATTATGGAGATGTTTGGAGGTCAGCAGAGTCCCGGTGGCATACATTAGGGTGATTAAGGACATGTGCGAAGGTGCTAAGACTCGGGTGAGGACGACGGGAGGAGATTCAGAGCATTTCCCTGTGAAGATGAGGTTGCATCAAGGATCATCCCTTAGCCCATTTTTGTTTGCTCTAGCGTTGGATGTGTTGACATGACACATATAAGGGAGGGTGCCGTGGTGTATGTTATTCGCTGATAACATAGTTCTGATTGACGAGACGCGAGGTGGTGTTAACGCTAAGTTGGAAGTTTAGAGATAGATGCTGGAGTCCAAAGATTTCAAGTTGAGTAGGTCGAAAATCGAATACTTGGAGTGCAAGTTTAGTGACGAGAGGCATGAAGAAGAAATGGACGTAAAGATTGATACTCAAGTCATTCCCATAAGAGATAGTTTCAAGTATCTTGGGTCTATAATCCAAGGCAACAGGGAGATTGACGATGATGTTACTCATCGCATTGAAGCGGGTTGGATGAGATGAAGGCTAGCTTCGGGGGTTTTATGCGATAAGAATATGCCGCCTACACTTAAGGGTAAATTTACAGGGTGGTGTTTAGACCGGCTATGTTGTATGAAGCTTAGTGTTGGCCCGTCAAGAAGTTTCATGTCCAGAAGATAAGTGTGGCCGAAATAAGGATGTTGAGACAGATGTGTGGACATACCAGGAAAGACAAGATCAGGAATGAAGTTATTAGGGACAAGGTGGGAGTGGCATCAGTGGAAGCCAAGTTGCGAGAATCGAGGTTGCGATGGTTTGGGCATGTGAGAAGGAGAGACATAGATACCCCAGTTAGGAGATGTGAGAGGTTGACCATGGCGGGCTTGAAGAAGGGTAGGGGTAGGCCAAAGAAGTAATGGGGAGAGGTGATTAGACAGGACATATCAGCGCTTCACCTAACCGAGGACGTGACCAGTGATGGGAAGGTGTGGAGGCCGAGGATTAAAGTGGTGGGTTGACAGGTAGTTTGAGTTTCTCCTAGGTTAACAATAGTACTAGTATTATTCTTGTTGTTGGTTGAATGTTACTTCCTTTTAGTTTGTTATTATATCTCGTACTTAACAAACAAGTCCAATATTTTTGTAAATTGCTACTGAAAATTGTTGCTCCCTTATTATTATTATTTGATGCTACTCTTTCTCTTTTTTATTGGAAATTGTTGCTCCTTGATTATTACTATCTAATGCTACTTTTTCTCCTCTTTTTCCTTGTCGTCTTTTGTCTCCCTCATCTGTTTTTCTCCCCCTCTCTTTCTTCTTCTTCTTCTTCTTCTTCTTCTTCTTCTTCTTCTTCTTCTTCTTCTTCTTCTTCTTCTTCTTCTTCTTCTTCTTCTTCTTCTTCCCTTCTTCTTTTCCACCTTTTCTTGAGCCGAGGGTCTATTGGAAACAGCCTCTCTACCTCCCCAGGTAGGGGTAAGGTCTGCGTACACATTATCCTTCTCAGACCCCACTGTCACACCTCCTTTTTCCGCGCCCGCGAGGGTGCAAGGGAGTTTTCTCCAATTAAAGGACAGTCGAAACGGGATTTGTTTGTTTGTTTCAGAGTCGCCACCTGGGAATTTTAAGGCGTCCCAAGTCACCGGTTTTAATCCCTGAATCGAGGAGAATATGACTCTGTCTATTTAACAGTCTGCGCACCAGAAATCCGGATAAGGAATTCTGTTAACCCGGGAGAAGGTGTTAGGCATTCCCGAGTTCCGTGGTTCTAGCACGGTCGCTCAACTGTTATATTCGGCTTGATTATTTTGATTTGTAAAATACATTTTTATTGCATGATTTTATTGTTACCGCTTCTATTTATATTTAAAGACCCTTCTTTGAATCGAATCACGCGTACGTATATTCGTGTTATAAATTATATATATTTTTTTAAAAACATGCGGAGTTGTGTCACGCGCACGTGTACACGATAATATAGATAATATATTTATTAAAACAATTATTTTCGAAATTGTGCTTAAATAAAATCAAAAACATTCGCCCTTTTTGTATAATTAAGTAGTGAACCTCACATCTCGGGGTTTTATGAAATTAATAATGATATTCTCCGAGGAATCCCTTTTATTTAATATTCGATCGAAGTTGCGCGAACGCATACTCCGAATTGCTTTTAGAAATATAATCAGGTTACACGAACGTATCCCTAATCACAAAAATATTCTTGATAAGGTTCTCTACAAATTGTTATTACGTGTTGACCGCGAGCCTTATTTTACACATATGAATCATATATCTCAAATTTTAAAGAATTAATGGCGTGAAGAAGAAAACAGACAATATGTATCTAAAACTAACATTTTTTGTGGATACAACATTTGGATGTCCATAAATCGAATGGTGTATAAAATTGGGAAAGAACTTAAAATGATAAACAAATTAATAGTTTCTGCAGAATCTTCATTGTTTCATTTAAGGCGAACTCTTCTTCTATATATCTTTTACATAAAATGCCACGATTTGTTTATAAATCCCATGTCCTTCTCATGTATTTGTTTTAGTCCAAAGTTATAATTATTTAGTTGATTTTTGATTACGAAGATTGAGTTTGAGATAAATAAACCAATT